CTGAGCATTTCATAATTAAAATGGATTACTTTTACCTCTGGAGTTTTGTTGGGGTTTTCAATATATCCAATTAACTTTTACCTTTGAAGTCAAAATTACAATGAGCAGAACTGGGTACTATGTCTGGGTTGTTAGAAAATATTTAGAGATTACTCAGGAAGATAAAGTTGGCTTAATAATGCTTTTACTAGGTTTGGCTAAATTGAACACATCCTAACAATTTTCAAATTACATGTAATTTCTTGAAGTTGTTTGGAGTAGAGAAGCTTTTTAACAGTATGTTATGGACTAGTTCATTAAACTTGATTAATGTATGTTAGCATTAAAATAATTCGGAAACTCCATCACTTTTAGGTTAAATTACAGTCATTTTAGGTTGAAATTATAGGTTGAAACTAGAGGCCAAAGTCATTTGGGATATCTCCTTGGCATAAAACTTTACCACTTCCTGTGGGATAGCAGATCAGTACCCCCCCCAGTGCATTTCGTCTTTTTCATCTATACTATACGAATATATCTAAGGTAGCAGCTAGTGAAGCCACTCTCATCCTCTGAGTGTGGACTGGCTAGAGTATACTTGAAGGTGGACAATACGCAGAAAAATATCCCAACCTGCCCAAGCACCTCTCCTGATCTCTGTAGACTCTCCTGTGTCTAGGGACTTTAATCAGATTTTCCTGGGCTCATTCACTACTGTTCCTTCATAGCTAGCCAGGCATATAATTTGCCGTACAATAGAAAAGACTTTTTAGAGTAAACAGAGGTACGGAGATGCTCTTTTTGCTTTTATTTTGCTTTGTTTGCCGTAGATTGTGTGTGCTCACTGGAGAGAGAAGACACAAGGGCAGAGGGGAGGGAGAGAAATCACTCGCAGGAGGATGGCCGTGCTTAACCTCATCTCCTCCTCTCTTGAGATTTTGAGCATGCATGCACATGACCCCAGGTGTGTGTTTTAAGTCACTGGGTCCAGGATTCAAACCATGGAATTGGTCATGAGAAATCCAGCTGCCTTAACCACCACCCCACCGGCTGGCCCCCAGAGGCGCTTTAACTTATTACACTTTAGGCCCACTCGTAATGGTGAACTCGTAGCATCCTGAACTGCAGTGGTGGAAGCCACGTGGCTCGCTGCCGGTTCAGATCCCTAGTTGTTCTGGAAACATGGCAGTTGCATGTACTTCCAAGATCTGGCTACGACAGAGGGCTTGAGGAAGGGATCACAGTGGGATGATACTCAGCTGAGGGTGTCTGTCTGTCTATCTTTGTTTCTTTTGGGGATGTGAACTCTTTCTGATACATAAAGACAAAGAAACAACAAAGCAATGCTGTAAGTACAGAGCTAAAGTGGGATTCTGAGACCCAGAACCTGTGGCCAGGCTGACTCTGAACGACTAACTTCCTGGGACCACCGTCTCTTGAGTGGGAACTCCTTTATAAGAATCACGGTGTTCACCCGGACTCTGACTTAGTCCATTAGTGCTGTTGTAACAAAATACCTGAGAGGGCATTTTATACACAGAAATTTACCTCCCACAGTTCCGGAGGTTGGACACCCAACATCAGGGTGACTGCAGTTTCAGTGTCTGAGAGCTGTGCTCCACTTCCAAGATGGTGCCTTCAACACTGCCTTCCCACATGGCCCAAGGTAGAAGGGCAAAAGGGCCTTGCTAGTCCCCCAGCCCTTTTAAAAGGCACCAAAGGCCATACGTCTCGACACTGTGGCATTGGAGATTAAAATTCAACCGGGATGTCTGAGGGGCCACAAATATGCATATGCAACCGGAAGTGTGAGAAAATGAACACACTGTGGAGGAGACCCTTGGTCAACTGGGATATAGAAGTCAGTGGACGGATTTCCCTTTCCTTCTATAAACAGGCTGTAATGAAGATGGCACATAAAGAATTTCTCTAAAGATAGAGAAAAATGACAGCAGGCGTGTGTGATGCGAACTGGTGGCTGGTGGCTGGCTCAGTAGTGCACACCTGCGTTGTCTCTTCCTCATTCTGTGTGTGTGTGTGTGTGTGTGTGTGTGTGTGTGTGCGTGTTTCCTCCCTCTCCCTCACTTCTAATCCATAAGATTGCACTTCCTGATGAATCACTCCACATAAACCTGTGCCTCAGGCTCTGCTTTCCAAGTAACCAGGCTAAGAAAGTTTGGAAAACTTTCATTAAAAAAAAAAAAATGTATTTGGCATTGTCTTAAAAGAATCCATTGACTATATTTCACTTAATTCCTTGAGACAATTGCTCCGAGTAAACATGCAAAATTTAGAGCTCAGGGGTTTAAGGATATATCATCTTTTTTTTTCTTTTCTTTTTTTTTTTTTTTTGAAGAGGTTTTTGCTATAGGGCGTGTGTGCTAGCCAGATAGAGAGAGACAGAGAGACAGAAAGTGAGAAATCACTCCCTAGGGGGGATGGCCACGCCACAATCCCTTCTCCTCCATTCTCCTCTCAGGATCTTGGGCACGCACATGTGCCCTGCATGAGTTTAAGCCACCAGGTCCTTGACTTGAACCGCGGTCGACTACGTGGGAGTCCAGCGACATAGCCATTACACTAACTGCTGGTCCCAGGATATATCATCTTTATGAGACTAAATCTACAGAGGTAATATAATACCTTTTATTTTTTTTTTTTTCTGTATCTCCCCACAACAAAACTCAGTAGATTTTTGAAAGTGCTAGTAAAAGTTGTTTGGGAAAATGTGGCTCCCACCTGAGGGAAAAATTGTGAACAAGAGAAGGAATGGAAGTGGGCGCCATGGTAGAGCGAAGCCACGCCAAGGAGGGAGGCCTGGCTCAGCTGCACGGAAGTGGCATTTCCGCAGGAAGCGGTGGCGTGTGGAGGCTGCAGAGCGGACGGCATGTGCTCTGTGGAAACCACAGATCTGGAGCCTTACTCTGGCTTCTCTTCCTACAAAAATCTCTTGTAGCTAGCCGGCTCAAAAATGCCCAGCCTTGCTAACAGTGTATCAGAAAAAGAACTAGAATCTTCTATCTGAAGTACCTACACAAAGATGCTTTCAGAGAAAGGGAGGAATAGCAGAGATGACACAAGGAAGGGTATTAACCAGAAAACTATTGCTATGGGAAAGCTCAAAATGACAAAAAAATAAAATTTCCATTAACTTAAAAGAAACGCTATTTAAGAAAGGATACACTGAAGCAGAAATACATAAACTCAGAAAACAGACATGAGATGGCAAGGCGGTATTAAACAGCCTGGCAGACTCAGGGCAGAAGGGGCCAGCAGTTGGCGTAATGCCTATGTCACTGGACTCCCATGTAGTTGATTGTGGTTCAAGTCCCGGACCCGGTGGCTTAAACTTGCCGGGCGTGTGTGCGTACCTGCCCAAGATCCTGAGAGGAGAATGGAAGAGAAGGGATTGTGGTGTGGCCATCCCCCTGGGGGTGATTTCTCACTTTCTGTCTCTCTGTCTCTCTCTGTCTTTCTGGTGTGTGCACATGCCCTATAACAGAAACCTCTCCAAAAAAAAAAAACAAAAAAAAAGAAGAACTCAGGACAGAAATAAAATGAAACAACAAACTATCACCAAATAAATGCTAAAGAAAACAAAGGGAGGGGGAGAGTAGAAATGAGAAAACCGAAAAGAAAATAGGAAAAAAAAAGTTCAAAATACTAGTGAGAGGGACCAGCAGTTAGTGTAATGGCTATGTTGCTGGACTCCCACGTAGTCGACCGCGGTTCACGTCCCGGACCCGGTGGCTTAAACTCACACCGGGCGCGTGTGCGTGAGTGCCCAAGATCCCGAGAGGAGAATGGAGAAGAGATTGTGGCGTGGCCATCCCCCATGGGGGGTGATTTCTCGCTTTCTGTCTCTATGTCTCTCTCTGGCGAGTGCATGTGCCCTATAGCAAAAACCTCTCCAAAAAGAAAAAGAAAATACTAGTTAGAGAACTAGCCCAAATAACTTTTGAAATGGTATTTTGAGTACATACTTTAAACTAAAGATAGAAATAGTATATACAGATATTGAATTCTAATTAGTTGTTTTGTTTCTCACAGTCATATGGGTCACAGTTCTGAAACGATCTCTGGGTATTTTAGGATGGAGTACATAGTAAGCACACGAAGGATGATGAGCCTCGACTTCTCCCTGTGGGAGAGTGGAACTGAAGCACACAGAGGTGGAGATTAAAGTGGCCTCGTGTGGAGGACTCGATCCAGACTCATAATTACAGCCCTGCATGCACACACGGGCGAGCTATGCGTTCGTCAGCTTCCTTGTTGAGAGGGCCTGAGAACGATATGCCTCAGTAAGAGTGAGCACCCAGGTCTTGGATTCTAAGTACCACCGGCTACTAGAACAGCTGGAAGGAAATGCTTTCTTCGAGGGAGAGGCTGGTTACAGGGAGGGGGGCAGGCGAACTACAAGATGAGTAATAGGGCCTTTTGTGCCCGGAAGTAAGACATCATCCCAGCATCATTTTGGCCTGATTTCTCTCAAAATACACAACCTGTAACTAAGGATGAACTACTCTACTATCCACAAACGACTAGTTAAAGTCATTAAAGAAAAGGACATGCAAGAGATGCTTCCCAGTTAAGGGTGACTAAAGAGATGGAAGAACTAACGCGATGTGTGGGATCCTGTATTGAACCCAGACTGGGATGAGCAGGAGGATTTGCCATGGCCGACATTACTGACATAGTCAATGAAGTTTAAATAGGAGTTTCGGCTTACGTCATAGGATTGTATCAATGTCACGCCTCCTGGACCTGAAAATTGTCTTGTGGCTATGTGAGAGAATATTCTCGTTGTTAGGGAGCATGATGATACACCCGGGGTAGAAGAATGAGCTGTCTGCAGCCTACCTTCGACTGGTTGAGCAAAGTCTGTGTGTGTGAGAGTAAATCATAAGGAAAATGGGCCAGAATGAAAACAGCTGATGAACCTGAATTAAGGTGGAAGGAGTACTTCTATTATTCCTGTGACTTTTCTGTATGCCTGAAATTTTATTTAAAAAAAAAAAAGAGTACAACGAGAAACATAAATACAGAAGATACACAAAAGAAATTTAACATGTAAGTTGCTGAAGAAGAAAACCCAACTAGCAGAACCTAAAATTAATTTAAATATATAATACATTAAAAATTTTCCCTGAATTAATAGAAGTCTGTGGGACCAGCAGTTAGCGTAATGGCTATGTCGCTGGACTGCCACGTAGTCGACTGCGGTTTGAGTCCC